TTTAGGGGGGGAATGCAGTTGACCTAAAAGAATGCCCTCTGCTTGCTCTCTCTTTTTCCCCTTACCCTTCTGTTCCCCATCAGATACATTCTGCATAGCTTTCTTCAACACAATTGCCTGCTAAAGACTGCAAATGCAAGTTACTGAGGTTTTCTCCTCCCAGTGTCAAACTTTCTGAGCTACCAGAATGCTAACAAGCTGCTCTAGGAGTCCCTTTCTGCCCTGCCATCCCCCTATTCCTAACTCAACTTTGAGATATTTTTACAACACCTCTTCTATTTGAAAGATAATCCTGATACCTTGTTTTATATGAACATTTACAGCAGAGACCCTGAGGAGAGGGACTGTCTTCATTGGGATACTTTATGGCTTAATACAGCGGGATGATTTATATCTCATTTTTGTCTAAGCATTTATGCTAATAAATTTAACAGATTCCACAGCACTGCCTGGTTCTTCCTTTTCTTCAGGGGATCAAGGAGGAAAATGAGGCAGTTACTAAAGAAAGAAGTAAGAAATTGGCCCAAACTATTTGGAACACGAAGTTACAATACAAGCAAAGTCTCTGGTTACAGTTACACTGGGGTAGCTATCAAAAAGATCATCTTAGATCCAGGTAGATCCCGCCAATTGGGCTATTTCTCAACGAGGGAATCACAAAATGACAGAATATTTAGCAAGCTGGTCTACTGGGAAATATTTAGATTTTTCTGGAATGAAATTCAGCACTAAAAACACTGACAACTATTAAATTGAGTGCAGTGGAGAGCGAGCGAAGGGGAGCGATATAAAATCCAGTCTATAAAAGATATTCCATTATCTTTTATAGGTTCAAAAAAGCAAAATAAAGAAATACTCGTAGAAAATCTGCTAAGATTAAAAGATTTTAGGATTGTGTGGGTTTCTTTCTTTTCTTTTTTACAGGTGCAGAATAAGTCATTCTGAGACTTGCCCCTCCTCTATTTTTTTCCTTTCTATTTTCCCTTGTTGTTTGCAAAGTTGAATCTGGGGTCAGGAGTTCTAATTGTAACCTCAGACTGGAATTCCAGATGGTGCGCGCAGGACTGGAAGCAACTCTCAGTTCATCAATTTCATGGGCCTATGTATCAGCTCTGGCTACGACCAGGCCTCCTTCCCCACTGTGGCATTAATGCAGAACAAATTGAGACATATCCTCTATATCATTAGTTCCAGAATTTAAAGAGATTTACGGTATAATCATAGAGGCAGCGCAGCAGAATCCTTGCACTGGGGACGCTCTGGGAGCTTGGGGACCTTCTCGTGGCATCAGAACAGACCCAAGCGGTTCCAAACTGGAGGAGAGGGGAAATCGTGCACCACGCACCAGTTCTCCAACCCCAAGAGCCAGACGGATGGGGAGAGGGTTTAAACTGTAGATGGTGAATTAGCCACACGCAGAGAGTTAATTTTAAAACGAATTAAGGAAGCCAGAGAGAGGACCAGCACAAAAGCCCTTGCCTCTGCACTCGCCTAATTTAAAGACATGGAGCTGGGAATTCTATGTGAAGCACCTGCCAAGCGGGCCCGGGGTGGGCAGGTTGCTGATGGTGAGATGGGCTCTGTACGTGATTGATGTTGGGGAGCACGTCCTCTGGTCAGGCACTAACGGAACCCCTGGTGCTCCGAGGAGGAGGTAGTGACGAGCAGCAGAGTCGCTCCCTGTCACCCCGTCTGCGCCTGGCCCCGAGCAGGCGGCCCCAGCCCTTGACAGATCACGCAGCGCGTGTTTATTCAGTTGTCGGTGGCCTCAGGGTGACGCCCGTAGCGGCTGTGCGTGCGCGCTGGTCCCCAGGGCCACGGCCTCAGCCACCCAGGCAGGGGCTCCGTCAGACACAGCTGACAGTGGCGGGGTGACTCCAAGGCCCAGCAGGAGGAGCAGGCCTCGCTCCCTCCTCCCCCAACAAAGATTTGGAGATCGTGCAACAATGAAGCGCCTTTCTGACCTACAAGAGCTTTATCAATGTTCCAGAGCTTCCAGGGCTTTCAGTCTGTCTCTTTCTCCCTCCTTCTTTCTTTCCTTTAGGTGATGAGTGAGGTACCTGGCTGGAGAGACCTGGCTTTCCCACTAATGTGCCCTCAAACAGTAACAGTAACACACTTTCTAGCATTTGCTGAGCACATAAGCTAACCTATCACTACAAAAGGTTCTAGCATCTCATTGGACCAACAAGGAAACTGAGGCTCAGAGAAGCTGAGGAACTCTGCCAGGGTTGCACAGCCATCGATTCCAGAGTGGAACTAAGATGCCTTTCCAGACCCCATCTCCTGTTCTTAATCACTGCGCCCTGTGGCAGCACGCCTTTTCTTGTGTCTCCGTTTCCTTCTCTGTGGTGTCTACTGTTGACGCTCTAATGTCAGCCAGGTTCAGTCACAGGTCTCAGAGCTGACGGAGATGGGAAAGTGAGAGAGGGAGGACAGCGGTCAGTTAGGCAGCCTTCCGATTTGGGGACCGTAAACAAGTCTCGAACTGCTGGAGCAGGAGGCTCGCGCGTGCCTGGTTGCCAGGTTCGACTTCCCTAGTGACTGCGCTGAGGGATCCGCAGTTCTGCTGAGGAGAGGAAGTAGGAATCTGGGACGGGGAGGCGGGGACCCCAGAGGTGCGAAGGTTTCCCTGGCCCTCGACTGAGGGCGGCCCCGGACGTTCAGGGGCCTCCTTTGGGTTCCTGAGGCCACCGACTGGCTGAGGGCCTCGGGACCTCTCCACCTCTTGGGCTGTCAGATTGCAGTACGGAGCACATTACCTTCTTCCTTCCTCTCCCGACTCTCCTCGCCGCCGTCACCTCTGAAGACAAATAATGGAGAAGAGAGCGGGTCCCAAATTTGCCCAGCTCCCCTTTCCTCCTACCACATGCCTGCGGGGGAGAAAAAGCAAAACCTTACGGCAGAGATTTAAGGACCTGTCTGGGATACAAAACCACAAATGTCAAGCCAGTCCACTTCCAAATACAACCTGATCCCCTTCCCCCTACAAAACAAAACTAAACAACAAAAATGGCCCCACAAAACAAAACAAAACAAAATTTGCAAAGGAAGGAAACCTGGCATAATTTCTACTTGTTCGTATGGCAGCAGAAACCCCTGTCTATTCAATTCCCTGCCATGGAGCGGATGCGAAGAATCCTTCATTAGCTAGTGCTGCCTAAGCCCCAGTTAAGACAAATAACGACTTTGAAGTTAAAGTACTACGGGTGTAGGGACAGAAGAAGAAATGCGGCTCTGGAATACACAGGGGGCAACTGCTAGAAGTTTCTTGCAGTGGAACCTATCTTCCCCCAAAAGCCCAAGCCTGGCGCTCCAGGGTGCCCTTGGCTGCTCCAGGTTAGGCAGGGACGGGGCGCGGAGGGGAGGAGCGCACGGCCTGCCCAAGGTGAGCAGGATTTGGAGAACTTTAACAACCACCAAAAAAATGCTTCTACGAAAGTCAACGGGGTCACACATGTTGACAACTTTGACCTCAGGATCTCCTGCGCCGCCCAGATCTTCAAGAAAACGCGTTCGGCACTTTCTTCCTAGAGCCTCTCACGTGCTTAAGGTCTGCAGCCTGAATTTTCTGCATTCGCGCGGTGATAATGAACTAAAATCCCAAAGCATTAGTAGAGGCGAAGGCTTTAGAAACTCAGTTTCCAAGTAGAAGTGCAACTACGTTGTTTTACAGGCTTTTGGCTGGAAAGTCGCGGAGTCCCGTCGGGGGCCCGTCCGGTGTAAGAGGCCTCGCGGCAGCGGCCGTTCCAATCGGCGCCATCGCCGCTGCCTCTGAGGCGCCCCGCGCGCGCTCGCACCCCTGACACGCAACCCCACTTCGCGGTCGATGCACTTCTCTTTGCAGATGAGCTGTTTTCCCTAAACCTCAATAGAGCCTCTCTGCTTTGGAAGAATCAACTAGAGGAAACCACAAAACAGAAACAACCCTGCTCCGGGGCTCCCAAAAAGAGTGGGAGGAGTCGGATTTGGTGAGACCACGCACCGCACTGCAGGGTAAGGAGCCGCTCTCTGCTCAGTGCTCTGCCGCCACCCCTCCGCAGCCATTATACCACAACCAGGACGGCACCCTGGACCTCAGGCAGATCCAGAGCTCTGCTTTGCTCTCTTCCTGCCGGCCTCCTACAAAGTCCCCCCACTCCCATTCCCACTTCTGCTCCTGGACGCCCTCCAGGCTCTGAGCATTTCCCCACGGTATTGTTCCCTTCAAAAATAGCTGGGATTTCCCCTGCTTCACCGTAGAATCCAATACTCTCCACCGGAAAGACGGTGAAGTCCCGCTGGTATTGGTTTAAAATAGGCAAGGACCTCTGATGCAGGCGCAAAACTTCACCTAGTGACCGCACACTGTGCAATGGAAACACCCCACTTATCACAACTGATAACACCCCTCCAAGTTACAGGCCTCGAATCCTGGGCCTTCGGAACCGAACCCACGAGGAGCTGCCCCCTAGTAACCCTGAGATGACTCCCACCACGCTAGCCCCTCGACTCTTGCACAGAGCCGATCTGCCGGCGCAGAGCACCGGTATCCGCCTCCCTGATATCCAGAAAACTTTGCGGTTCCTTGAAGTTCCCGCCCTCGCCGAGCCCACCTGCTCCTCCTTCCAACCCGCCCTCCCAGATTAATACCCCCTACCCAGCCCGGCGCCCCCGGGTGCAGAGGGGCACGCACTGCTCACCTGAGGGGACTCACAGGGCCGTGAGGCGCCCAGACATTCCAAGTGCAAGAAGCGAAGGGGGGGGGTGCGCCCACCGGCCAGCTGAGTGCGGGCGGGGAGGAGGAGGAGGAGGAGGAGGGGAAGGGAGGGTGTCCCGAGAGAGCCGCTCCCTCGGGCCCGCCCCCACCCTTGCTGCCAGGGCGCCCCCCAAGGAGCTGCTCGCAGCGGGGTCAGCCTCGGTGTGAATGGAGAGGCCGAGCCGCCAGGCTCCTCCTCCTCCGCTCTCGCCAGCCCCTCTTATTTGAGCTTTGGGAAGCCCGGGCGGCGAGGCATCTGGGGTAAGGAGTTCAAGGCAGCGCCCACACCCGGGGGCTCTCAGCACCCCGGCCACCGGCCTGCTCCTCCCTTCCTCGGCGCCCTCCCTCCCACTCACCACACACCCACCGGCCCGGGGCGCAGCCCAGGCCCCGCTCCCGCCGCCTCGCCCGCCGCGATCCTGGACTTCCTCCTCCCTCCAGAACCGGCTTCCACGTGCGCCCCGGAGCCGGCGTCGCCGCGCGCGCTCCGCCCGGGGCCCGGGGGCCTCGAGCAGCCCGGGGACCGGGCTCCGGGGAGCATCTGGGCCCGCTTCGGCGGGGCCGAGCCGACCGTCTCGCGGCTGCAGGGCCGGAGGAGCCGCGGGTCGTCTGGAACCGAGCCGCCGCCCATGGGCTCCGACGTGCGGGACCTGAACGCGCTGCTGCCGGCTGTGCCCTCCCTGGGCGGCGGGGGCGGCTGCGCCCTCCCGGTGAGCGGCGCCGCGCAGTGGGCGCCCGTGCTGGACTTCGCGCCCCCGGGCGCCTCGGCCTACGGTTCGCTGGGCGGCCCCGCGCCGCCGCCCGCCGCCCCACCGCCCCCGCCGCCGCCGCCGCCACCGCCACCGCACTCGTTCATCAAACAGGAGCCGAGCTGGGGCGGCGCCGAGGCGCACGAGGAGCAGTGCCTGAGCGCCTTCACTGTGCACTTCTCAGGCCAGTTCACCGGCACCGCTGGGGCCTGCCGCTACGGGCCCTTCGCTCCTCCACCGCCCAGCCAGGCGGCGTCGGGCCAGGCCAGGATGTTCCCCAATGCGCCCTACCTGCCCAGCTGCCTGGAGAGCCAGCCCGCCATCCGCAACCAGGGTAAGGGCCGGGGCGCCCCCTGCACGCGGGGTGGTCACTCTGGGCTCTCATCTCACAGCCTCTCCTCTCCTTTCCCTTCCTTGACCCCCGCTTTTCCCCGGAGCCCTGCAAGAGCAGCGGAAGCGACAGACGGGCGGGTAGCGGAGTGGAGGCCCTGGCCCTGTGGCAGGCTAACCGCCCGCTCAGGACTCCGTCCACGTGCCTGACTCTTCGCTTGAGGCGGGAGGCCACCCAGGGCTTTTCAGACCTCGGGAAAGTCCACGTTCCCACGAGGGGCTGATGCGTGCGGCCCAATGCTCAGCCTCAGAAAGAGGCTTTGCTACTTAAGCGTGGCCAGATCGAGCTTCAGGCATCTAGACTGGATTCAGAGTGGGACCCTCACGGGGTGAACAGCCTCTTCTGCGCCCAGATGCTGCTCTTAACCGTGGAGCTGACACAGCTAGCATCTTGGGTGCAATGAGGGGCTCAGCCACTATAAATAATAGTTTTTTACAAACTGTCCATTTGAGGCTCCCGCTTGAGGCGGCGAGTCTCTCCCGGTTCCTGTTCAGGCAGTGGGGCGCGATGGTCAACGCGGGCTCCGCGGATGGATGAGAACCCGGATTCCCCAATTCCAAGCTCAGCGAGATCGAATTCCACCCCAGAGTAGACTCAAGCTAGGCCACCACTTGCCAGCGCGCCTCGTCGGGTAGACGCAGGGGTCCAAAGATCCCAGGGTGAGGACAAGGACACTTTGTGGCCGTCAGTCCATGTCCACTGAGGGAGAAGTTAGGTGTTTTCTCGTTATGCGCGAGCTCTCGCAGACCCGCTTCCCGCGAGCAGCTCCGAATCGCGGGTGTGGAGCGCCTGTGTTCAGTCGATGAATTTCTTCCTCTGGCTTTCAGCGCTTTGAGAACCTAAACCAATTTTATTTGATTACGTTGGGAAATCCTTTGCTAACGTAATAGCGGACTCTTGGAGCACAAATTCATCCGGGTTTTGAGGTTGGGATGTTTCTGAAATGCGCTGGCTCGAGGAGTTGGGTGTGTGTAATTTACGGGAGGTGCGCGGTGCCTGAGGGCGAGAAGTACTGCCTTCTGCACGCGTCTCTCCAGGCCATCTCTTCAAAGTCCATTTGGGAGCACCTCACCCGCACAGGGCCTTAGCAAACTTAGCAAAATCAAAACCACTCTTTCAACGAGGGAAATGTGGGATCCACAAATCATGCGGACCCCCTAGGCCAAGCTCTCCGCTTTGGACTCAAGTGATGTCAGACCCACTTAGTGGCTGTGCATCAGGTGGAAAACTGTTGTTTCAAACTGTATCACTTCTATTTAGCCAGCTCCTGTTACCTTGGGCAGGTCTCAGTTACTCCATCTGTAAGAGAACAGCTGAGATGGACTACCTGGAGTTTGGGTATTCCGTTGAGAAGTAAAAACTTGGCTTTTCCAGGTTCTAACAGGTAGTGGAGGCCCACAGAAAGATGACTGGGCCAGAAACACACAGAGACTGGAGGCTGGGTAGGCAGAGTGTGTGTGTGTGTGTGTGTGTGTGTGTGTGTGTGTACACGTACGTGTAAGGGCCAGTATGTGAGCCCCCAGAGAAAGATGACTGGGCAAGAAACACACGGAGTCTGGCAAGCAGGAGTGTGTGTGCCCTTGAGTGCAAGAGCTGGTGACTGGATGTGTTCTATTTCAGGAGTTCATTGTGTTATGTGAACGGACAAGGTCAATGGTTGGAATCCACTCCCTGCTTCATGGGAAGGATGCATAATCTCCTGCTGGAGGCTTACTAAGGGTTGGAACCCATAGGCTTGGGTTAGAAGTAATTTGGTTTAAGCTCTAGACTGCTTCATTCTACTTTGCCATCTTGAGTCCAATTAGATTTGGTAGCAGCTTTTAGAAGCTGGGCTCAATTGCACTGCATTGAACTACCTACCAAGTTCAGCTTTATGTCAGGTGGTACTTCTGGTACTCAGGATATCATTGGGAGAGAGATGTGTGTGTGTGTGTGTGTGTGTGTGTGTGTGTATAGTGCAGGGCCGTGTAGTCGGGATGCTGTGGTTAGGGAGGACGGGAAGCTGGATTTGGGCTCAGCTGTCACATGGGTGGGGGGTGGAGGGTGGACTAGAGAGCTGGTCCTCTGAATTGGCAAGTGAATGACCTCTTTCCTACCCTGTCTTCATCAGGTAGAGAGGTGAATGGAGACTCAGGATTGGGGATGTGGGAGTGGGGGGCACAGCCTGGACGACAGAGCATATGTGAGCAAGCTTTGAATTTCTCTTGCAGTTAAGAACTAAATGGAGCAGCCTGACCTGGGCCACTAGGCAGCCAGAGCTGGTGTGGGATGGGAGACTTTACCCTAACCCAGCTCCAGTAACAGGACAGGTGCAGATTACGGGATTCTGATTTAGTCTCTGGATTTCCTGCGCCCCATAGAAGCTCTGAAGCCCCCTCTGCAATGAACATGGCTGGGTCGGGGGTGTCAGCCCCTTCTGTGTGTGTGGAATGACCATCTATCTGCCTGCTGCGGCCCAACTCCAGGAGGGAGACTTTCTCAATCTCTGTCAGGGGCTGGGCCTAGCTACGACCTAGGGACCAAGGCTCTCTCTTTTCTCCTCTAAAAGGGTCCCGCCAACTCAGGCGTATATACCCGGTTCAAATCTACCTGATGCTCCCTTGGAGAAGGAGGGGCAGTCTCCTCCTGTGCCAGTCGGATCCAGCTTGGTACACAACAGGGAGGGGAAAAATAAAAGGTCTTTTCAAGAACTGAAGTTCACCTTAGTCCCCACCCTGGTTCTAACCTTACCCCTTAAGGTTGATCAGCGGACAGACATTAAGTGCTTTCTCTGTGCTAAGCACTCTGCTGAGCATTGAGGTTGAATATGAATTAAGGCAGTTAATGCTGACAGTGACCCTCCAGGAGACCTTTATTCTTGGATGGGGAAACCCAGGTTCAGAGAGATGAGGTCTGCAAGAGGTCTCTCAATGTGTAGCAAAGCTGGGATTTGGGCCCAGATGCCCCGATGCCTCAGACTTTCTGTTTGTACCCACTGGGGATCTTGGGTCTGCTGTTATGATGGACTCCATTGTCTTTTTTGAGGGTGTGTTTGTCAGGGGAGCAAGCGTGGGGGCAGGACCCCAACTGCTAATTCTTAGGGAGGAAAAGTGATTTCTCTTTTCAACCTGATGGCAATCTTTTAGCCACCAGCTTCTCTGCCTTGCGGGCACATTCTTGGGAAGGTCAGGCTCACCTCCCGGGCACATGGCAAAACCTGATCAGCCCCCGGGCCAGCCACGCAGGGGAGGGTATTTCTCAGGGGGGCAGATGTCCCAGACCCCACAGGTGAATTAGCATTTTAACTGGCCTGTTCTCTTTACCTCTGAGCACTTTCCAGGCTGAGCTCACCGTCATCCCACACCTTATTCCCGGGGCCTGCTGGTTTCCAGGCTCCTTCGCAGCCCAGAACGGGAAAGGGAGGTGTTTTCTCGCGGTCAAGGTTGCATCCCCCCACTAATCGTGGGAAAGACGCTACCTTGGCTGCTGGAGCCCCCCTCCCTCTGCTTCAAGGCCTGAGCAGGGAGCCTTTGGACACGCGGCCCCTTCCTGCTCCCATCTCTCAGTGCCAAGCCCGGCACAGGCCTCGAACTAGGAGTTCTAATCAGCTCCGTGCGCGATAAGCTGCCAATTAAAAGAGCTCTCCTCCTCCTCCGAAGATCCTTCACCATTGTCCGACTCTGGAATCCTAGGGAGGGGTTCGAGGCCCGCGCCACTAGGGTCTGCGCGTTCTCTCTGGACAGAAGGCTTGGGAACAGTGCCGGGATTCTAGCACTGGGGCGCGAGGGAAGTGGCCCTGGTGCCACAGTAGCAGAGTGTGCCTCCCAGGATCCGAGGCGTCCAGGCCAGCGACTGCTCATCCCAATGGAGGAGGGTTCGTCCACTCGTTTCTAATTCGCCTTTCCTTTTATGTAGAAAATAGCCTTCCAGAGACCTCGCTTATAATCGAGGCGAAACGAAGTGATCAGAGCTCAATTTCGTTAGCAAGCGGAGGGTAGGCTTCTGGCGCGGACAGGCCTCTGCGCCGCCGGAAGAAGCCCATGGAAGATTCTTCAGTGCGCTCGCTCTTGTCCAAGGGCGCTAGCTTTACCCCTGAGCCGGCAAGAAATGGAGGACCTCTGCGGTCGGGTAGATGATAAAAGGTGGCAGCTTGTGAGGTAGTTACAGAACTAATGGACCTGCTGTGCGGGTGCTTCTTCCTCTCTGCCCACCAGCACAGGCGCGCGGGAGAGGTTTGCTGTTGTTTCTGGGTGTTTTTGGAGTGTGAGCGTGAATATCTTCCTTTCCCCTCCCACTCAGCAAATCTTTGCGGGTACTTGTTGCAGGAGGGGTGGGTACCATCCATGCTCCGCAGAACCGAGTGGTGGGCTTTGGTGGTCCTGCGTGGTCCCTGGCTCAGGAGCTGGGGCAGGCGCTGTGGTGAGGGCTCGGGGCGCACGTGTCAACCAGCCTCCTGCCTCTCTCCTTCTCTCAGAGGAGACCTCAGGCCAGAGACCACAGGACTCGCACTTGGTTAGAGGGGACCCTCAACCAGATACCAGTCCTTATTTTTTTTAACTCGAGAATACATTTCTCAGAAACGGTATCAAAAGTTTTCTGGACGCGATCTAGTAGCAGTCAGGAGAAAGCATACTTCCTTCAACTCCACATCCCTTTTCCCACCTTGAGAGCGCGGAAAGAGACAGGCAGTAGTCCTTGCATCCTCCGAGGGGAAACTGAGGCAGAGGACCTAAACATTGCCATGCCCAACACGCCAAAAGAACCAATTTTCTAAAAGAAAACTGGGTTTTCTACCTAGGGCAGAAGGAAGGTTACCCTGCAACAGCGCTGTGCCCAGAACCGCGGGGCCCAGGCCGAACCCAGGGGACAGAAACAGCCCCAAGTGGAGGCGCAGTTGGGAGGGTCTCTTTCCAGCGCTCCCCAGGGCCTTGGGTGTCGTGGGGTAGGGGTCACATAGCCCCAGACAGATAACATTACTCCATAATTTGTCTTTCCAATTGAAATGGCCCCGAGTAATAAATGAAAGTGGGTGCGAGGGCCCCTGATTTACGGCTCGGAGTCAGCTTGGGGTCGGCTGAGCAGATTCATTCCGCTCGACTCGCACTGTCCCAGCCCAGCCGCGCTGTTTATTTTTGGGTAGAAAAACTTTCCCTCCAAGCAGGGACGGATTTTATCCTTCACTTGCTCCAGGGCCGGTGCAGAAGCGCCAGTTAAGGCAGGAGACAACAGTGTAAAGAAATCGGGGGAGTGGTAAAGAGGGTGGGCAGTCTCCTCCCGTGTGATGAACTGTCTCTGAACACCCCCCCCCCCCGCAGGGTCAGCTGTGGGTCGGTTCCGACTCCACGGTACACAACAACAACGAGGTCAAGGTAAACGGATCTCGTATTCAGAGACCGGGCGGGTTACCCTGTTGTTTTTAGGTACTGTAGGTGCAGTTGAGTTGAATTTAGCCGGGTTCCCTAGTCCTGCCTAAATCCCGCTGACGTTTCTTCTCCTTGTGTCCAGGATACAGCACGGTCACCTTCGATGGGACGCCCAGCTATGGTCACACGCCCTCGCACCACGCGGCTCAGTTCTCCAACCACTCCTTCAAGCATGAGGACCCCATGGGCCAGCAGAGCTCGCTAGGTAAGGGCCTTCGTGCTCTCTTCCACGCAGCTTCCCAAGAATTTCTACAGCAGAGCAGCACATCCAGAGGAGCCCTGGACATCATTAACTCGGTGCTGGTTTATTGAAAAGGAAAGGGAGTTCTCCATGCCCTAACCCCATCCCCATAGAATGCGAGTGACAGCGTCGTCACCTCACCAAAGCTCCCAGTGCTGAGAACCCGAGGCCATTTGGGGGCACCACATGGTGAGGTGACAGTTTGACTGGTCACCATCTGGAGGCTGTCCCTCTGCCCGGCTGCCGTCTAGGCCTTGATCTCCAGCCCAGCCTGTGGGGCCCAGTGCAGGATGATGACCCCCACACACACACACACACCCACGTGCCCCTTGTTGGAAGGCCCCTGGGTCTCAGGTGCGCTCACTCTGCCCTCCTCGCTCTCTCTGCAGGCGAGCAGCAGTACTCAGTGCCGCCCCCGGTTTATGGCTGTCACACCCCCACCGACAGCTGCACCGGCAGCCAGGCCCTGCTGCTGAGGACGCCTTACAGCAGGTAGGGCACCATAAGGGGCTCCCCGAATCCAGGAGGGGGCGCGAGGACGTCCCGGAGCGTGCATAGGGCGCGGGTGGCCTCCGGGCTCCCTGGAGTATCGGATCGGAAAGTTGATCGTCTGTGCGCTCAAGCTTCACGTTGTGAGTGGAACTGACTGGAGCTGAAGGAGGAGGAGGGCACGTCGGGAGTTATTCTGCAGGATTTTAACTTCCTTCTAAATAGGATCTAACGCGAGGGAGAGGGGGTGCGCTGCCCACTCGCTTTTAACGCACCTCAAATCCCTCTCCCCGCTGGCCCACAGGCCCTACTTTCAGGAACCATAAGGAAGGCGGGTCCTTTCTGGCCACAGCTTTATTTACGCCTCCAGTCCCCAAGAACCTCCAACTGTAACGACAACGGCGCTTAGGGTGTCGTCCCCTGCGCCCCTTGACCGCCTGGGGCGAACTGGGCATTTTGTGGTCACAGCTGTGCCCTGCAGGGAGCCCCTGCCCCCGTTGGTGTGCGTCCTTCCTCCTGCTCCGGACAGGCTGAAGGTGGAGGCAGAAGATTGGCCTCCTTTCCCTGCACGCGCCCTCCCCCCCCCCTTTCCCATCTTCCTTCCTCGGATCTAGCTCCCGCTCCACCTTCTTTCCCCAAATTTATTCGTCAACTTTGGGTGAACTTGGCCCGTGTCCTGCGCCGATAGGGTTGCCTAGTAACTGCAGTGCATACACCGGCGAGCCGGCCGGGAAGGTGGGGCGCAGGGAGGGAAGTGGCAGTGCGCGACCTCTCCCGCCCCCATTGGACATGCATTACCTCATTGCTCTCCCCCAGCCCGGTGCGCGGGGATCCTGATACCGACTGCCCCACACTCATCCCCCTTTTCCCGCCCCTGCGTGGGGTCCCGGGGCTGACGTCAAGGGAAGGAGGCAGTGAGGTAATCGAGGAAGGAAAAGCGCCTGCCCTGGGAGATTGGGTGGGAGAATGGCGGTGTCTCAGGGGCTTTCCGTCCCGCAGGTGGAGGATGGGCGGCTGTCTTCTCAGGGGGCCCATTCCAGTGCCCCTGCTTAGGATCATATCCATCCTGTGAAGCACACTTGCTCCTGGAAACTCAGTATAGGGGTGCACCCCTTCTACATCCGTGCACCCCGGGCGCGGGGACTATGGAAACCCATCCTTTTTGCCCTGAATCTTGGAGATGGGCATTATATTTTTAAGCTTCCTCCCCATCTCCAGGTCTGTTTTACTTTCCATCAAATATTGAGACGTGTTTAGAAAGATTTGCTTGCATTTTATTTACTTTGCTGCATTTACTCCATCCCCACCCCGCCCAATCTGTGTGTCCAAATTCTAGACTCCTCCTCCCCAAGCTTCCCTTTCTCAATCTTGGATCTAGTCTCACTTCAAGGTTAGGAAGCTCTGATGGCCTTAGTGGTAAGGAGCTTTGTTCCCAATCCCAAGGCAAGGTGGACAGTCTCCTCCTGTGGGATTTACTGACTCTGAAAACCCCCTGGAGGGTCAGTTCCCACTAGACCATATGTGACAACTATGCTGTACATACGTACATCATAACAATGCTGTTAGGTTCAGTCAATATGCAATCACATTTATGTAAGACTAAAAAATGAAACGAGATCCAAGATTGGGGAAAGAGAAGCTTGGGGGAAGAAGTTGAGAACTTGGACATGCAGATTGGGGGGAGGGGGCAGTTGTAACAAAGCAAACAAAATCCAAGCAAATCTTTGTGAAAAGTCTCAGTGTTAGAGGAAGTAAAATAGACAGAGAGAGAAGAGAGACAAACAGAAAGAGATGGAGACAGCTCAAAAGATGAGGCTGGTTTGCACCCAGTGCTGCAGAGTGGAATGGCTCCAGAGGTTTTTGTGGATGGTGGTCTTTATGCCTGGTCTTCCTCCTTCCAGAACTACTGGTGAGATCCCTAACCCAGCACTCAGCTCTTTGCCAACTCTGCATCACCAGCTACTTAATGGACCCCTCCACCCCACTCAATGCATGCATGGAGCTCAGTGGTAAAGAAAGGCCTCAATGCTGCCAACTCAGAATTGGCATGCAGCTGCCTCACCAAGGGATGAAGGTGCACAGTCTCCTCTTGTGTGATTTACTGCCTCTGAAAACCCACTGGAGGGTCAGCTGTGAGTCACTTCTGAGTCAAAGGTCCATAACAACAATAATATATATGTATATGTATATATATAGACACATACATATGTTTTTGTGGTGTTGTTTGGTGCCGTAGATGACTCATAGCGACCCTGTGAATGAAAGACCTGAACACTTGTATAATTTTCATTGTTTCCCCAAGTTCATGGAGTTTCTGGAGGCAAACTATTTCAGAAGTGGTTGCCACTTCTGCTTCCAAGCTTGTTTTAATCTAGGAGCTCCACCAAACACTGTCCACCATGGGTAAACATTATTGCATTTGACACAACAGTGTCACAGTGTTTAGCATCACAGCAACCTGGAGTTATCTTTGTACAGCAAATTGACAGACCAGTGCTATACCACTTACAAGAATGTTTGACCAAAAACAATTAAAACCAGGCCTGAGAGCTGCAGATTAAAATCATCCACCTTTGGCTTGGTAGCATAACTTTCTCTCCCCTAGACCAACCACATGTATATTTATTTGTCTATACATTCCTCTAGGTCGTATAGCCCTGGTGTACAAGTTGCCGTACCGCGTTCACTTTTGGTTGCTGTGAGGCTGAACACCGTGACACTGGTGTGTCAAATGCGTTGATGATTGACTACCCAATGCAGACAGAGAGTGGGGTGGAGCTCCCTGATTAAAACAAGCTTGGAAGGAGGAGTGGCATCCACTTCCATAATAGCTTGCCTCCGGAAACTCTATGAACCTGGAGAGAGGATGAAAGGCACCCAAGCGTCGAGGATTCTCCTTCATAGGGTCGCTATGAGTCAGTCGCCAGTGACTCGACGGCACTTAACAACAACAACAACATACATACATATGTGCATGTTGTTGTTATGTGCTGTCTAGTCACCTGTGACCCATAGTGACCCTGTTTACAGCAGCTCTGAAGCCTGCCCTGAGCCAGTCTTACTGATTCTGACACACCTAACCTCATTTCACCAGCTACTGTATGAATCCATCTCATCCTGATTCTTCCTCTCCTGCCCCGTCCCTACACACTTCTGAGTATAAAGGCCTTCTTCAAGGACTGGTCCCTCCTGGCCATGTGCCCAAAGTATGTGAGATGGAGCTTATATATGTACGTTACTTCTGACTCGATGGTACATGACAGCTATGCATTATGTGCATATACACATGTATGTGTGTGTATATACATACACACAAATCTGTTTATGTATACATATATATGTATACACCCCCCCACACACATATATAGTTGTGTACCTTTGAGTCAGAACTAACCCATCGCTGACCTTCTAGTGGGTTTTCAGAGGTGGTTAATTGCAGGGGAGGAGATTACTCATCTTTCTCCCTCAGAGCAGGTGATGCATTTGAGCCCCGTACCTACACACACACGCACGCACACGCACATGTTGTTATGTGCCGTCATATGCGTGTCTGTGCGTGAGTCTGATGTCCATCCTTTGGGGAGCTGTGCTACTAACCCAAAAGCCATGTCTCTTTAGTGGTTCAAGTGTGCCAGTGGCTCCATAAGAGAAAGATGGACAGTTTCCTCCCAAATGATTTATAGCTACAGAAACTCAGTGGAATATAAGTTGGTTGCAACTCTGCAGCAAGGAGATGAGAGTGTGTTTATTTATGCGTGTGTATTGTTGGTTTTATGTGCCACTGAGATGGGATCAACTCATAGCTGAACCTCCAGTGAGTTTTCAGAGGCTGTAAATCTCAGGGGAGGAGATTACCCACTTATCTCTTGTGGAGTGGCTGGGAAGGGGATTTGAACTGGCTCCCTTTGGGTTGGCAGTGCAACTCCATACCACAAAGCCACCACTGCTTCATGTGTGTAAGTGTGAGTATGCGCGTGTACGCACGCACATACTCACACGCTAAACTAACGGTGGACAGTTCAAATCCATCAGCTGCTCCTAGGGAGAAAGATGGTCCGTCTCCTCTTGTGCTAGGAATAGCCTCTAAAAACCAACTGGAGGCTCAGCTGTGAGTTGTTTCTGACTGAAAGTGATGAGCTACAACGTTAATAAAGACCACATCTTAGAAAAATCCTGTGAAGCAGTTCTCTTTTGTTGTATGGGCTTGCTAGAGTAGGAATAGACTCAATGGCATCCCACAGTAACAAGTATCACTTTAAGCTCTTTTCAAATGCTAGTTTTACCATAGGATTCCTAGGGAACCTCTCATTAAGCCAAAATGACTTAAAGTGAAGAAGTATTTGCCATTAATATATATCAGAGATCTTCAGCTTTTCAAGCCCCCAAAATAACATAGAAAGCCTAAAGTAATAATTAACGTACAGTGTTCACACGCAGTTCAAAGCTGTGGTGGCTTGATGCTAAGTGGACACCACTGTTCCAAATTGGAGTGTTCCCTGCCTTCTCCTTTGGCTTGCTGTAAAACACATATTGAATGCTATTTTAGATTTTTACTCTTTTTTTTGATAGAGAATTTATTTTAGTTATTAGAAACAGATACTACTGTAGATACTTTGTACTAATGTAGTTCTTTCATAAAATCAAAGTGGTAAAGGGCAAACATTTGAAAATCAAGGAAATTGACCCATTTAATCAACACAACAACTCGTTGAGATAGACAAAAGAGGATGCGTGTGGCCCTGAGAGTTTGCTTTGTCCTGTGTCACACAGTAAAAGGTAGAACTGGTGTTAAGCCAGGAATTCTATCTTTAGAATCCATCCTTCTTCCCACTGCTTCTTCCTGACTGCTAAGTGTCTTTTTCAAAGTGGTTTCTGTGCCAGGTCTCAATAGAAGGAGGTCTTTAATTTCACAGTAGTGAAAGAAGTCCAATTAAACATAATTTTTACCCATAGCTTTCAACAAAAAGCATTCAGTGGTTTGGGGACAGAATCTCACTGGTGGA